GATTTTGGCATAGTTATAGGCACCCAGAGAGTCCTTTTTCCATATACGGATTTACTTCTGAGTAAAGCTTAATTTGTGTGTGTGTGGGGGGGGGGGGCGGGTGGGTTGGAAAGGGGTTTACTAGAGAGTTGTGGGCCGATTAACCAAGATTTTTTTTCTCCTCAACTGCATCATTTCCAGAGGTGGTATTCAGCCGGTTTGGATCGATTCACCCGAACTGGTAGCGGAAATCGTGGGTGGAGCCATCCACCTGCCCCGGCTCTATGCTGTCCTATTTAGGCACGTTTTGGAGGCCGGGCGCATGTGCGGGAGGCACGCACGCAGGGCGAAGCGGTGGTAACAAAATGTGAAACCCACCGCTGATCATTTCCCTTCTAAAAAAAGGAGAACAAGCACATTAGAAGAATAAAGGGGCACAAAGAAGTGCAATTCAGAGGAGATGCTAGGTGTGTAAACATGGCTTGTAAACAGAGAGTTTGTCATCTTATGTATAGAAAGATGGTTTTGCACTGGTTGTAAAGCCAGAGTGGATTTTATTTATTTATTTTTGCTGTTTGTGTTTGTCCTATGACGGACGGTAACAATATTGTGTTAAAGATTGTGTTTAAAAAAAAATAGCACCTGGGATGTGCTCCAAGAGCAGTGTTTCTCAACCTTCACAACTCTTAAGATGCGTGGATCTCAACTCCCAGAAGAGTTGAAGTCCACGCATCTTAGAGTAGCGAAGATCGAGAAACACTGCTCGAAGGTATTTCTCTAAAGCATTTAGAGTTTGCATCCCACTCAATCATTCCACCTCCTTGGAAATGATTCTCAGCTGAAGAATTAATCTCTGGGTTGCTTTTGAGTTTTAGCACCAATAATAACCATGATATCTTCCGATGATGATTGCTATCTGCTCACAAAAAAGATCATTGTGCATTCACTTATAGCTTTGTAAAAAAATTGGTGCTACCTGGAGTCGCCAAATATCCACCAAGGAAGGTAGGAGTGTGTGGATCATACCACCACACAAATGTGGAAAAATTTGGGAAAACCATTGACCTGACAATACTTATTTTTCAGGTTCTTGACGGTATAACATAGTCCTACAAAAATTGTATTTGAGCTGAACGATTAAAGAGACCTTGATTTACTATTCAAAGAACCTTACCAACACTCTAGAGGGGGACGTAAATAATAACTACAGGTAGTCCTTGACTTACAACCCTTCATTTAGTGACCGTTTGTGAAGTTACAACGGCACTGGAAATGTGACTTATGACTTGATTGTTTTTCGCCTGTAGACAGAATCTTGCCAAACTAAAGCAATTACTGGTATTATTAAAGATATACAGGCAGGTTTTGATTTACAAGCTTTCCTTAGTGACTATTCAAAGTTACAATGGCACTGTAAAAAACCCGACTTATGTCCATTTTTCATGCTTACATCCGTTGCAACATGGTTACATGATCAAAATTTGGGCGCTTGGCAATTGGCTCATATTTATGACGGTTGCAGTCTTCCAGGGCTCACACAATCCCCCTTTTGCAAACTTCTGACAAGCAGCAAAGTCAACGGGGAAGCCAGGTTTCACTTAACAACCGTGTTACTAACTTAACAACGGCAGCGACTCACTTAACATCTGTGGCACGGAAGGTTGTAAAATGAGGCAAAACTCACTTAACAACTGTCTTGCTGAGCAGCAGAAACTTTGGGCTGGTTTGTGGTCGTAAATCGAGGAGTACCTTTGGATGCTGTCATTTTTTTTGTTTGTTTTAAATCCAGAGCCATCCAAACCGGAGAAAAGCAGGTACCAATTTTCAAAGCTTGAACATTTTTTTCCCCCCTGTTCTATTTTGATTGTCCCTAACAGAGAGATTACAATTATGGATTTTAGATTTTTCTTTTTTCAGGGGTCAAGCTGACAATGTCAGCCTTTAATGGATTTGTACGTTCCCGAAAGTATGAAATGTTGCAACCTTTCAAATCTATGGAGCTAGTTCTTTTCGCCTTTGAAGAAAAATCCTGCAGTTAAGTGAAGTTAAAAGGTTCCCTGAAGGATAAAAGGAAAAAGAAAATTTTTTTTTTTTTTTTTTTAGCCTTCTAGGAGCATTCGATAATTTTAATTTTCTAAGGGCTAGATTTCATATCTTTTATTAGTAGAATTTGAGGAGATATACACAGGTAGTCCTTGATTTATGACAGTTCATTTACCGACCCCAGTTACAACGGCACAAAAAAATGTGACTTACGACCACTTTTCACACTTACGACCTTTGCAGCATCATGTGATTTATTCGGATGCTGACTCACATTTATGACAGTTGCAGTAATTACGTGACACCCCCCCCTTTTGCGACTTTCTGACGAGCAAAGTCAAGGGGGAAGCCAGATTCACTTAATAACCAGTGTGACTAATTGAACGACGGCAGTGTTTCACTTAACAACTATGGCAAGAAAGGTCGTAACATGAGGCAGAACTCACTTAACAAATTTCTTATTGAGCAAGGTGAATTTTGGGCTCGATTATGGTCGTAAATCAAGGACTACCTTTACTCAATTCCACTTAAATGTGGACTCCTTTCCCAGTCAACGTCCAGAGGTGTAAGGCAGAGGTTTGGATGAATGGACAAAGGAAGCTATCGATGGAGATTCTCAGCCATCCAGGTCATGGTTGTCCCAAAGGTGCTTTTTCAAGAGGCAACTGGACTTTCTTTTTTCCTTTGAAGACGTTTTGCTTCTCATCCAAGAAGCTTCTTCAGCTCTGACGGGATAGAGGGGAATGGAATCCAGTCAGAGCCGAAGAAGCTTCTTGGATGAGAAGCAAAACGTCTTCAAAGGAAAAAAACCAGAAAGTCCAGTTGCCTCCTTAAAAAAAAAAACACCTTTGGGACAAAAGGAAGATGTTCCCACATATAAAGCAGACTGGGATTCAGGGGTTATTTAACCTTTCTCCCTATGTAGATTATTAAAAAACGGGTCTTTGCAATCTCAATAACGTCTGTGGGACAGATGGCCTTTGCAGTGGGGCGTTTCCCCTTTGGCATGAATCCCTACCTGTTCCTAGATCTCCATCGATCTTTATCAGGTGGAGGTGGAGTCAAGGGATACTTGAGAAGGAGGACCACGCTACCGTTTGGGACCTCTTGAAACTGTCAAGAAGGACAAAACTCATCAGTATCCAGTACATGAAACAAATGGGAATGCAAATCGTAAGGAGAACAGGACTCCTTGCCATAGCTTTCTTTCATTCAAAGTCTTCTCTCCTTCCTTCCCTCCTTCTTTCTGGTATATTTTTCTAGTATAAATTTTCTTTCTTTCTTTCTTTCCCTGTTTCCTTCTCTTTCTTTTTCCTTCTCCCTTCCTTCCTTCTTGTATATTTTTCTAGTATAATTCCTTCTTTCCTGTATATTTTTCTAGTATTAATTTCTTTTTTCTTTCTTTCTATTATCTATCTATCTATCTATCTATCTATCTATCTATCTATCTATCTATCTTTCTTTCTTTCTTTTTCTTCTTTCTTATCCTTTCTTTCTTTTTCCTTCTCCCTCCCTTCCTTCCTTCTTGTATATTTTTCTAGTATAAATTCTTCTTTCCTGTATATTTTTCTAGTATTAATCTTTCTTTCTTTCTTTCTATCTATCTATATCTATCTATCTATCTATCTATCTATCATCTATCTATCTATCTATCTATCTATCTATCTATCTATCTTTCTTTCTTTCTTTCTTTTTCTTTCTTTCTTATCCTTTTTTTCCTTCTCCCTCCCTTCCTTCCTTCTTGTATATTTTTCTAGTATAAATTCCTTCCTTCCTGTATATTTTCTAGTATAAATCTTTCTTTCTTTCTTTCTTTCTTTCTTTCTTTCTTTCTTTCTTTCTTTTTCTTTCTTTCTTTCTTTCTTTTCTTTCTTTCTTTCCTTGTTTCCTTCCTTCCTTTTTTCTTTTTTCTTCTCCATTCCTTCCTTCTTGTATATTTTTCTAGTATAAATTCCTTCCTTCCTGTATATTTTTCTAGTATAATTCTTTTTCTTTCTTCTTTCTTTCTTTCTTTCTTTCTTTCTTTCTTTCTTTCTTTCTTTCTTTCTTTCTTTCTTTCTTTCTTTCTTTCTTTCTTTTTCTTTCTTTCTTTTCTTTCTTTCTCTTTCTTCTTTCTTTCTTTCCTTCCTTTGTTTCCTTCCCTCCTTTCCTTCCTTCCAATCTAAACACAAAGCACAAAGCCTATTCAAAAGGAAAAAAGAAATTTTTTAAAACTGAAGTAACCGAGGACTTGTGGACAAACTGGTTGTGCCAAAGCACAGTGTTACTGCCAAGATGGAACGCATAGCACAAGACAGAGTAGTACATTTACCAGTAGGTTGGTTCTCCTAAGAGATATGCATGCTTAAGAGAGAAACAAAGTGGAACAGAACAACGGGTGTGAAGGCTAGAAAACAACTAAATGAAAAACGCACAGGTTTTTTTTTGTTTATGGTGAGTTTTTTGTTTTTTTGCTTTTTGCTTTAGGACAGTAAGGAAATGTGCTGAGCCCTGGTCCTGAAACAAGAGTTTTATGCTGATGTGAAAGTAAGCCATTGTTCCCAAAGCTTTGGATTTTTTTTCCTGTAGATTTCTGCAGAAACAATTCCAAAACTTCACTACTGATTGATTTCCATTTTTTTGTAAGAAAAAAGTTTCTAGCCCTTTTGATCTGGTATATACAGTAATTCAATGAAATCACCCAGATTGATCTTTCTCTCTCTCTCTCTCTCTCTCTCTCTCTCTCTCTCTCTTTCTTTCTTCTTCCCTTTCTTTCCTTCCTCCCTCCCCCTCCTCCCTCTTTCTTTCTTTCTTTCTTTCTTTCTTTCTTTCTTTCTCTTTCTTTCTTTCTTTCTTTCTTTCTTTCTTTCTTTCTTTCTTTCTTTCTTCTTCTTCCCTTTCTTTCCTTCCTCCCCCCTCCTCCCTCTTTTCTTTCTTTCTTTCTTTCTTTCTTTCTTTCTTTCTTTCTTTCTTTCTTTCTTTCTTTCTTTCTTTCTTTCTTTCTTTCTTTCTCCTGTGCTTAGCATGCTGAAACAAAATTTAGGATTTTCCCACACTTATCTTAAATGGGATAATAATAATTGAAAAAAAAACCACCCCAGTATTTTCACGTCTCTCAGTGGCATCATTTCCACAGCACTCAAAACCCTAAATCTGATTTAACAAAACACAATTGCTGGTCACATAACATGGTCAGTGCTGACAAACCACCAAACCATATTATGGTGTAACGTGATTATACAACAAGCTAAGGCAACAACTCCCACAAAATGAGGAAAGTCATCTGCCAAAAGACTCATTTTAATCTAATCTCACATGTTGCTCACATCCAGCCAGCAAGAAATTTTGGACAATTCTCTTTGACTTATTCTCTCTTTTTTAAAAATGGGAATAATTCAGTTTTGGGAGGTTGTTCTGAGGGCAAGCGAGTGGTTATAGGCACCTTGCATTTTGAGAAAGTGCTACATAAAAGTTCAAATTCTCACTAGAACTGCCCTCTGCCCAAGAGCTTTCTTATTCATAGATAGTCCTTGACTTACGACTGTTTGTTTAAAGCCAGTTCAAAGTTATGACAATCTCGGAAAAAGTAACTTGTGTGATCCCTCCTTCAAAGTTACGAGTCGCATCACCTCTGCAGTCACGTGATTGCAATTTGGTTGCTCAGCAACCAGCTGCCATTTAGGATAATTGCAGCATTTTGAGATCACGTAATCACAATTTGTGATCTCCGACTGGATTCCAATAAGCAGAGTCAATTGGGAAAGCTGGATTCACCTTAAAGACCACAGTAGAAACGGCTGCAAAATCGGATCTGGGGACGTGATGACTCGTTTAATGACTGCATCGCTTAGGGACTGAAATTCTGGTCCTAACAGTAGTCATAAGTCAAGGACTATCTAGTAGTTCTTTCTCAGTAATCTATTTATTCAGCTGTTTTCTGGGACATATACAGATTTTCATCCCGTTCCAATAAAAGTTTGGAATTCTACTATTCACAGGGGTTAAGTTTCAACTTGGGGAAAAAAAACAAAACAAAAACACAGTATTGAAAATCCTTTCTTTTCGTGGAGTCCATGAGAGAAAATAATATTTGCTCTTAAAATATTCTTCCCGATTAAAACCACACTCTTCTTTTGATACTTTCAAAGGTATAGAAAGAGATTATGGCAGAATTAATTTTTCTCTCCTCTGGGGGCAGGGGGAAACCACATTTAAACAGTTAAGATCAATTTGAGATCATCTTGGTTTCGAAAGGCTGAATTGAGACAGAAGTTATATTTCTGTCCTTTCCGGCAATGTTCAACAATTCAAACAACCGCTTAAACAGAGTCAAGAGAGTTTGGAAATATAAAAATTCAGGCTGAAGAAACACTTCTAAGGGGTTGCATTGACATATTAAGGCTGCAGCCCTGAAGCACCAGGGACAAAACTCTGGATAGGAGACATTTAAGATTTTTTTTTCAATTTTTTTTTTCCTGAGTTGTGACCTCAGAAAGAAAAATCTGACCTCAGTCGTCCATTTCTGAGCCTTAGGAACTTGTTTTACTCTAACATTAGGAAAGTATCGTATTGAAAACTCCAAAACTGAACAGAATTAGAACTGATCCTTTGATGGAGTCAAAAGAGACAACTCCACGGATCCGAAACCTTCCCAGCTCTCCGCCATGACCTCAAAAAGGGAGGCAGAGAGGGTTAGTTGAAATATATATATTTACCAAAAAAAAAAAGGGGGGGGAAGGAACTTGGAAAGAGCAGAAACTATTACTGGCTAGGCTTTTGTTTACTGGTAGTTTGGAACTGCTTAGTTGTTCTGCAATTTGAGTTGTTCTGTGAAAAGAAAGTGAGTTGTTCTGCGAAGTGGATTATTCCAGGGAATCAACTGAATTGTTTTTTGAAGGGAGCGTTTATGCCAGAGGTGGGCTGCTGCCGATTCGTACAGGTTCGGCCAAACTGGTAGTTAAGATTCCGTGCAGTATGGTGAACCGGAAAATCCCACCACTGGCCCCGCCCCCACTTATTTTTTGGCCTGTTTTCCATGCCATTTTCAGGCCGTTTTTCAAGCCAAAAATGGCCCAAAAATGGCCTGGAAAATGGCCTTAAAAATGGCAGCAAAGGGCCCAAAAAACGGCCTGAAAACGGCCAAAAAACAGGCCGAAAAACGGGCAAGGGCGGGGCCAGCCAGTGGGGGGATTAGCCTTTGAGGCGAGTAGCTGGGAGGCGGGGCTGGGTGTGATGAGTGACATCACCCACCCAGTCACATGACCAACCGACCACGCCTACCCAGCCAGAGAACTGGTTGTTAAATTATTCAAGTCCCACCAATGGTTTATGCCCCATAATTAGCAAACAAAATTTCTAGATGATTGCCACAAAGTTGAACTTTTTGACTTTTTAAAATCGTAAAATGCATAGTGGTCTTCCAATGAATTATTTTGGTTGACTTCAAAATCTGCTTCTAAAGTGTAATGTTTTGTTTATAACTTTACCGACTAGTTTGGATCAATTACTGGCATTTTAGCAACCATTCCTACTGGCAAATTCTCTATAAACCATTATGGAAAAGCTGGTAAGAGATTTTATAATGGCAGCTGCTTAATTAGAAAAAAATAAACCAGAAATTACATTCAAACCGCCCCAATAGTTTATTTATGGGAATGAGGGAAATGAGGGTGAGGTGGAACTCTTTTCAACAAAGAGAGATATATATATTTTCTTTTGTACTAAGTGCATTTTAGGTGTATTATGCAAAGTAAAATTTTCTTATCCAAAATAAAATAGGAATACATGAGACCTAAATTCCTAAAATTCAAACAAAGAGGACGAACATATAGAAATAGAAATTCTTAAGAAATCTACCGGGGGAGACAAAAAAAAAGAAAGAATGAAATAGTGCAAATTGAAAATTCACCTTTTGCATTCTCCTGCCCGCCCAGGTGCAACGTAATTCACCTTTCGATGACTTAATCTTTACAAAACGTCTCACAAAATATTTTTGTTACCTATAGAAATTAGCGCCTATACATCAATATAGATTCTTTAATAAATTATCCCGTCTTTTAAGTGCCTTCTATCTTCATATAAATGATAATATAGATATAATTAAAATAAAATGTAAAGCTTTCCCCGTTCCCCCAATTGTACCCTTCTTCTTGGTCAAGTTTTAAGTACCCTGAATTTTGTCTGTTCAGGTGAACGCACTTCAATATGAATGCTTTCCTTCCCATCAAATCTCATTGAATGATTAAGATCCAGATGCAACGGTGAAGTTGAGGGGGGGAGGGGAGAAATTATGCTCCAGGTTGGATTGGGATGGGGGGGAGGGGCGGGAAGGAGAGATATGCATAGTTATATGAAAGTCGAGGTGCTGCAAATACAGATGTACTATGATCAAAGGATGTCTCCGATCCAACATCTGGGAAAAAATTAACAATAATCATAATAAAAGCATTCCAGGTCTCAGCAGAGTCCGGTGGTGTGGCTTATGGATGAGATTTTGCAAAGCCGCAGGCCATTCAGCTCTTCTTCTGGAGATAACGTTAGGTAGGACTTGTGTTCGCATCCGCTTTTACTCAAAGGATACGTCCTGTAGGATTAAGACACCCAGGAGATTTTGGGGGTTTTCAACCACCAAGAAACACACCGAGCTGAGTCATTACAGGTTGGAAAAGGAGGTAACGGGCTGGGTCATTTCTGCCTCCGGGTTCATCCTTACAAAGCTGTGTGGTGAGCACACAGAACAGTTTGTGCTGAGTGTGTCCGAGTGTGTATGTGTATGCATGTCTGTGTGTGTGAGAGAGATTTAATATGGCAGACTTGTTTTTTTTTTCTTTTTCTTAAAAAAAATTGTTCCTTCTTTTTTCTTTTTTTTGTTTCCTTCCCCTTTTATGACCCAATCAGTGTCCTTCATGGCTTCCGACAGTTTGTGTTGTATGTTCAGAAAAATCAGAATAATAATAATCACATTGACAGCAAGAAACGTGAAAGTAACTTTTTTTCCCCCCCAGCCCTCCCCGAAGCTTCCAAATAAGTTAGGATTAAATTTTCTTCTAAATACTTTTCCGTTGCGATCAGAGGTGGGTTAGCGACTTTATAGTTTTTCCTTGGAAGGAATCCAGATGAAGGAATCCGATTGTTCCTCGATCACAAGTTTGGTTTGGTTATATATATCTTCTAAGGTATCTCCTTGGACAATTGCTAGAGGAAGGGAAAAAAAACCAGATTTTGATCCCTTTTTTCAGAAACAAAATTGGCCAGTGTTTTAGTATCTGTAGGTCTGAGGATAATTAGAACTGCAGAAAAAACAATGGTTACCAACCTGCCTTCCATGGAGGATCTGCATACTGCACGAGTCAAAAAGAGGGCTGAGAAAATATCTACAGACCCCTCGCATCCTGGACATCAACTGTTTCAACTCCTACCCTCAAAACGACACTATAGAGCACTGCACACCAGAACAACTAGACACAAGGACAGTTTTTTTCCGAACGCCATCACTCTGCTAAACAAATAATTCCCACAACACTGTCAAACTAGTTACTAAGTCTGCACTACTATTAATCTTCTCATCATTCCCACCACCCATCTCCTTCCACTTATGACTGTATGACTGTCACTTTGTTGCTTGTATCCTTATGATTTATATTGATATTGTTTCCTAGTAGGATTTGATTGCTTTTTGTACCCTATGACTATCATTAAGGGTTGTACCTTATGATTCTTGATGAATGTATCTTTTCTTTTACGTATACTGAGAGCGTATGCACCAAAGACAAATTCCTTGTGTGTCCAATCACACGGCCAATAAAAAATTATATTTCTATATTTCTATTCAAAGAGCCTTGGTGGTGCAGCAGACTAAAGTGCTGTTAAGTAGCACCAGCTGCTTGCAATTACTGCAAGTTCAAATCTCACCAGGCTCAAGGTTGACTCAGCCTTCCATCCTTTCGAGGTAGGTAAAATGAGGACCCGGTTTGTGGGGGCAATAAGCTGACTTTGTATAAAAAAGAGCACCGCTTAGGGGGTCCGAAAGCCCTACTAAGCAGGTATATACAAAAGTATGAAGGCTGTTGCTTAACGCATTGTAAACCGTCCTGAGTCTCCGGAGAAGGGTGGCATACAAATCGAACCAATAAATAAATACAATAAATATTCTATTCTATTCTATTCTATTCTATTCTATTCTATTCTATTCTATTCTATTCTATGCTATGCTATGCTATGCTATGCTATGCTATGCTATGCTATGCTATCCTATCCTATTCTATTCTATTTTATCCTATCCTATCCTATCCTATCCTATCCTATCCTATCCTATCCTATCCTATCCATATGGAACAGAGGTTTGTTTTGAACGGGGAGAAAACCTGTGGCTTGAAAATTCTTTCTTTCTTTTTTTTTTTTGTGAGCTGGGTAACGAAACACCTGCAAGCCAACAACCAAGCTGTGAGAGCACGAAGACTCCACAGTTCAAGCTACAAAAATTCTCTTGCATCGGTTATCGTATTTCAGCACAATTTATTACGATCCTAGGACGTTTGGGTTGATTATCTGTACTGCATGTCACTTGCTTTTACTGTAACTTTGGGGACTTTTTCAAGAGGCAACTGGACTTCCTGGTTTTTCTTTGACGATGTTTCACTTCTCATCCAAGAAGCTTCTTCAGCTCTTGGCTTGGCTGGTGAGGAATGGAAGGATTGATACTCCTTGCAGACAGCTGGTCATTTGCATCCTTTTAGAGAGTCGTTGAGGCCACTTGGAGGTTTGTCTCTGTCCTCAGGGTCACCTGAGTTGTGCAAATGGGTGTGGAGCCTTCTTGGAACTGCTGAAAGGACTGTGTTGCAGACTGGAGATAGATGACGTCGTATCCCTCCCCCCTCTGTTGAGAGAGGGCCGTTCAGTTTTGACATAGATGGCTTCTTTGACCCCTCTTTCAAATCAGTGACCATCTCTGTCCAAAATGTAGACTTTGCTGTCTTCAAAAGAGTGGCTTTTGTCTTTTAAACGTAGGTGGACTGCTGAATCTAGTCCTGATGGGTTTGTTCTCCTATGTTGTGGCATGTGTTTATGAAGTGGTTGTTTTGTTTCCCCAATGTACAGATCTGCACATGTCTCACTGCATTGTACTGCATATATCACGTTGCTCAGTTTGTGCCTGGGTGTTTTATCCTTGGGGTGGACAAGCTTCTGCCTTAGTGTATTCCTGGGTTTGAAATGGGCACATATGTTGTGTTGGCTGAAGATCTGATATTCCTGCAATTATTCTCTTCATTGCTGACATATTCTATCTCCAGTCCACAACACAGTCCTTTCAACAGTTCCAAGAAGGCTCCACACCCATTTGCACTACTCAGGTGACCCCGAAGACACAGATAAACCTCCAAGTGGCCTCAACGACTCCCTAAAAAGGATGCAAATGACCAGCTGTCTGCAAGCAGCATAAAATCCTTCCATTCCCCACCATTCAGTCAGAGCTGAAGAAGCTTCTTGGATGAGAAGCGAAACATCTTCAAAGAAAAATCAGAAAGTCCACTTGCCACCTGAAAAAGCACCTTTGGGACAACCATGACCTGGATGACTGAGAATCTCCATAGACTTTTTGTCTTATTTATCTATTTTGTTTTGACTGAACACAAGAGTGAATTCTTGCTTGAATGTTTAGAGAGCTGGGAACATTCAAGAGAAAAATACAAAGCTCAGATGATTGCTAACGCCTTCCTAGGGCAATTTGTACATGGCCATTTTTGCCATACTACAGCTAGTCCTCGCTTACCAGCCACTTGTTCAGTGACCGTTTGAACTTACAACGGCACTGAAAAAGGAGACTTAAGATGGTCCTCGAAGTTGCAACAATTGCAACGCCCCTGTGATCATGGGATTGTTAATTTGCGATTTTCACAGCCATCTTCTCGGTCCATGGGAAGGGCCGCAGGAAATTACAGGTCATAATCATCACTTAGTGATGGAATTGCTGGTCCCAACTATGGTCGGTAAATGAGGACTACCTGTATAATTCAGTTTCTCGTTATCCCCAAAGTGCCACCAGGAAAAAAATAACAATAATAACACACTTCCACCTTCCTTCATGGAAATAAAGGAAGCCTCTTCAAACGCACCTGTAAAATATTCTCCAAATTCTTGTTCTAATTTCATGGCGCGGTCGTACGTTTTCTTGGCCTGCTCCTCCGTGAGACGTTTATTCATTTCCCTGAAACAGTTTGAAAGCTTGAGTAAAGGAAAGGGAGATATATATATATATTCAAGCCACATCTCATTCGCCCTTGGCGGCAATAAAAATAAAGCAATAAATATCTGTCCCGAATGTCCAGAGCAAAAAAAAAACCCAATGCTTCAGATAATGCAGCAGAGGCATCGTTGGAGAAAATAAGAATGGTGGGGTGGCTTAGAGTTGGAGCTCTCGCCTCACAATCAGGAGGCTGTGAGTTCGATCCTAGGTAGAGTCCCTTGGGAGTTGGGCAGCATAGAAATGCGATAAATTAAATTAAATTAATTTAATTAAATTAGAGGCAGATATTTCTCTCTCTGGGCACACTGAGAATATATCTACTGAATATAACTCTGCATTGGCGACAGGAAAGGCATCTGGCCAGTAAACACTCAGCTCCATTCAGTTGCCCAGATTCCACCCCGTTGCAAGGGATTATGGGGGCATTAAAAGAAGAAGATGATGATCATTGGAGAAAATATGGTTTATTCTACTGGGGCCTCTGGAAATTATAATTATTGGCAAGTGGAAAACATTGTGCGCACATTTCCTGCCTGTACTGTTGAATGGTTAAATTGCCGGACTAATAATGGGAAAGACCCAGGTTCTAATCCAGCCATGGTCATGGAAATTCAGTGGTTTGACTTTGGGCCAGTCAGACGGGCCTACCTTGCAAGGTTGTTCTGGGATTCAGACAAGAAGAACCCTGATTTAAGTCATGGAAGCTCACTGTGTGACTGGACCACTGACATTCTTACAGCTTGACCTACCTCACAAGGCTGTTGTATGAGAGGAAAAAAATAGAGGGAGCATTATGCCTGCTGTCTTAACATCCTAAATCTCCTTACATACTGCCTTCTATGCTTTTAATATTTTACAGGTAGTCCTTGACTTACAACAGTTCATTTAGTGGCCATTCAAAGTTACAACGGCACTGAAAAAAGCGACTTATGACCGGTTTTCATACGACCGTTGTAACATCTGATCAAAATTCAAATGCTTGGCAACTGACTCATATTTATGACGGTTGCAGCCGCCCGGGGTCATGTGATTACATGTTTGTGACCACTTGTGACAAGCAGTCAATGGGGAAGCCATAACTAACTTACTAACCGCAACTAGTAACAAGTAACTTACTTGTTACTAACTTAACAACCGCAGTGATTCACTTACTATCTGAGCCAAAATTCAATTCGCTAAGCAAGTGTCTTGCTTAGCGACCAAAATTTGGGGCTCAATTGAGGTGGTAAATCGAGGACTACCTGTAAATCAATCCTGACTAAAGTATCTTAGCCAGCTTCGGAGAAAAAGCTGGTTGTAAAGAAAGGTTGCAAAATGAGGCAAAATGCACTTAACAACTGTCTCACACAGCAAGATAAATTTTGGGCTCAATTGTGATTGTAAGTTGAGCACTAGTCATATTGTACACTGCCCAGGGTCCTTTTATGAAAGAGGTGGGAGGTTCTTAATTATGACAAATAAATAAATAAGAGGAAAGTGGGATGCAACACTAACGAAAACTAATTTTATTTTGAATAAAACTCAAGTTAAACTTTTCTGGGATAAAATCAGGGCTGGGCTGCTAGGATTCGGGAGAACCTCTAGCTAAGATTCTGTGCAGTTCGGAGAACCCCCAAATCCCACTCCTGGCTGGCCCTGTCCACCCCTCCCCTCCCCTCCCGGGAGTCCCCATGCAGCCCGTTTTGGATGCAGGTAAGTGCAAGGCGCGCGCGGAGACTCGGGGAGGTGAAAAACGGGCCTATTGGAAGATCGGGAAGGCTGGAAATGGGCCCGTTTCCAGCCTCCAGAGGGCCTCCGGAGCCTGGGGAGGCCGTTTTTGCCCTCCCGGAGGCTCAACGAAAGCCTCTGGAGCCTGGGGAGGGCAAAAACACCCCCCACACTGTGGTGCAGGAGGCAGACTAGGCCACACCCTCCATGGCCACGCCCACCCAGCAACCAGGCAGAGAACCCCTTGCTAAAATTTTTGAAGCCCATCCCTGGATAAAATCCCGTTTGTCTCCAACCCTCCTTTTCCTCGCAGTGCAGAGTCAAAAATATTCCTAAAATTAAAATATCAGAGTTTCGTTTGTCCCAGGCTGTTTTCTACAATCTATTTCCAGTGAATAAATACATTCAGCCCAGAAACATTAAGGAATAAAATCAGGGTTTTTCTGCTGCTGAACCGTGTGTGTGTGTGAAGTGGCTTCTGCATTGCCAGTGAGAATAATTGCATTTTATTTACCCATCATCTGAAATTACTGTGTGTGGCTTCTGGGTCATAGGACATGGCCTCCCCTTCAGGCCTTGGTTAATTTTAGAAAATCAATGTAAACAAACAAGACAGAAACATTCTACCGAAATAAAAAAAAACAACAACTCCGGCTTTGTCACAGAAAGCAGGCAGACCCAGAGTCTGCAGAATAATCTCCGTGTGTCGCTTGGTGGAAATTACAGGTAGTCCTTGATTTATGAGTTTGTTTAGCAATGGTTCAAAGTTACAATGGCCTCAGAAACAATAGTTTACGACGTATCCTTGACGTTATGACCATTGCATCGCCCCTACGATTGTGTTGCATTAACAGGCAGGAGTGGTATTCAGCCGGTTCGGTCGAATCGGTAGTTATGGCCAGTGGCTGGGCCCGCCCACCCGCCCTGGTGCTATCCCATCTTATACAATCGCCATATTTTGGATGCTGTGTGCATGTGCGCAAGGCGAAGTTGTAAACTCGTGCAAGCAAACGCACAAAAGTCAATTAACGCAATGTGAACATCATTATAACACAGTTCAACTCCCATCCCTTGATACGATCAACCCCTTCCTCGGGTGTCAACATGCCCTTCAGGTGTCACTCAAAATCAGCATGTACACCAGGGGTCCTCAAACTACAGCCCGCAGGCCAAATACGGCCCGCCGAAGCCATTAATCCAGCCCGCGCAGGACCACGAGGCTACTCCACCCACATCTACCCGCCAGCCCCCACCCACCTTCTGGAGGCTAGGGAGGCCAAAAATGGGACGTATGGAGCAGGGGTGGGTTCTACTTACTTTTATTACGGTTTGCAACAGGGCTGCGTGCACGTGCGCACGCTCTTCTGTGCATGTGCAGAAGCATTTGGATGACGTCGGGCTCGGTGGGTGGAGCCTCCCGCCGGTTTTACTACCGGTTCTATAGAACCGGTGTGAACCAGGGGCAACGCACCACTGATATGGAAGCCTCCAGAGAGAGAGAGAGGGAGCGATAGACACACACACACACACACACACACACACACACACACACACACACACACAAACAGAAGTCCCACATACACACCCCACGGCAGCCACATCCCTTCACTAATCTGCTTTCCACCCTCAGGAGCATAACAAATTAAAGTTTTATTTGTGTGTTTTGTTTGGTCTGCTAAATTGGCCACGCCCACCCAGTCACATGACCACCTAACCATGCCCACCCATCTGATCCGGCCCCCGAACAGTCTGAGGGACCGTGAATTGGCCCCCTGTTTAAAAAGTTTGAGGACCCCTGATGTACACACTTACACACTCAGGACAAGCCCCCACCCCACTATAAAACAATCTCTCTATACCCCATTTTCTCTGTAGCTGCCCCCCTCCCTTGGCAATTCTCTTTCCTTTTGGGAATAAATATTTTTTCTTTCCTCGCTGGATTTCATTTTTATTCTCCTTGCACAACCCTGGTTCGAATTGGAACCCCCCACATATTCTTTCGGCCAAAGCTTCGCCCCCATGGTCCCAAAGGAAGGCTGGAGAAGACAGTACTCACATCAAAGGCTCCCACGATCTAGGCTTAATGAAGATTGCAATAGGGTAGAGTTGTGCAACTTGAAGCCGTTTAATTGCGTTTCCTGACACATCCAGGATACAGTGTTTGCCCTGGTGACAGGAAAAGGAGGAAAGGTTTAGTTTTGAGGTGGCGTTTAAAGGACAAATAAAATGAAATGAAATAAAACTCACAAGAGTGGATCAATTTCAAAATTAGCAAACTCTAAGCCCCGTGTTCTGTCCCCTTTCGCACGCACACGCACAAACAGACAGCCAGGAGTTAATGAATCAAACAGTCAGGAATTCCTTTAAGATAACAGTCTTGGCAGCGAACCATGAACTGCCTGCCAAGAGATTTTACTCACTAAGGGAGGTTTTTTCTCCTCAGTCCGATATACCAAATTAATTCCACAAAGCAAAGAATTGTCAAAGTCCAGTCCGAAGAAATCCAAAAAGAGCTTCTAACAGGGTTCTAGAAACACGATATGACTTCCGAGCTTTTCAATTTGTCTGTCACAAGGCGTGAATAGCTGACACACCCACTTTTATCCCTTTTGGGGTGTGGTCCAGTGACTCAGCTCAATCTCTGGCCCGCCCACACCTCTTTCTCTGCTGCGCGTGCTTATCCTTCCGACGCTGTCTGGGATCCAGCCAAAACTCATCTCCCTCGCTCTCTATCTGCGGCTGCTCCGAAGTGCCTTGCTCCTGGCATATCTCTTGGCCTTCGGAGAAAACCTGAGGCATTGCCAGAGAGGAGGGTCCTGGAGAGAGAGGCCTTGCGAAATCCTCTCCTTCACCTTCTGAGTCCTCTCCTTCTGTTAGGACAGGCTCGGGGGTCAGAGTCACAACACCCCGGTAAAATCACAGCTGCTGTATAAGGATGTTATACTAAAGTAGGACGTAAAGTGAGAAAAGTGAAATGATACGGGGTTGGATTGGATGACCTCTGAAGGTCCCTTCACCTAGATATTGTACGAGACATTTTCTGAGTTTAAACTGTCAAACCACAGAGTTAGCTAGCTTTCTCACTTCTGTGTCAAAGCGCAGAAGCTAAAACCACATCAGTCAATATGAAACTAGTATTTCCTGCATGATACCTGTGTCTCAGACGCAAGATATAATCAGCTTTTCTGCCCAGCAATAAGGGGCCTAGCCAATGGGAATGATGTAACATATTTCCGTGTTTTGCTGCTTTTGAAGAATGCTGCTATAAGAATGCGTGTCTTAATCAGAACGTTGTTCAGATGGTAGATGGTTATCTTTTCTGTCTGAACCTTTGGCCAAAATAAAGCTTCTCTTGATCTCGAAGTCTGAGTCCTTTGATTTTCTTCAACAATACTACCCTGTTTCCCCGAAAATAAGACATCCCTTGATAATAAGACTAATCAGGCTTTTGAGCACGTGCGCTAAAGTTAGCCCTCCCCAAATTAAGCCCTCCCCCAAAATAAGCCCTCCCTGAAAATATTTAAATGCATGCCAGCCGGTCCCTGCCATTTTTTCTGATTAGGGTTAGGGAGACAGAGCTGGAAATCAGATAAGATGGCAAGAGGAGCCCCATCTTGCTCCATGCGCCCCAAAATAATAAGATCTCCTCAAAAATAAGGCCAAGCGCTTATTTCAGGGTTCCAAAAAATATAAGACAGGGTCGTATTTTTGGGGAAATGGCTTTCACAGCCCTCCCTAAGCAGTTTACAAAATTAGCCTATTGCCCCCAACAATCTGAGTCCTCATTTTACTGACCTTGGAAGGATGGAAGGCTGAGTCAACCTTGAGCCTGTCAGGATTGAACTCCTGGCAGTGGGTTGAAATAGCCTGCAATACTGCATTCTAACCACTGTGCCACCATGGCTCCTTCCTTCCTTCCTTCCTTCCTTCCTTCCTTCCTTCCTTCCTTCCCCTTCCTTCCTTCTTCCTTCCTTCCTTCCTTCCTTCCTTCCTTCCTTCCTTCCTTCCTTCTTCCTAACACCTAGACTTATATACCGCTTCACAGTGCTTTACAGCCCTCTCTAAGCAGTTTACAGAGTCAGAATATCGGCAAGTGGGTCCTTATTTTATCGACCTCAGAAGGACGGGTGGCTGAGTCAATCTTGAGCCTGGTGAGATTCGAACTGCCAAAATGCTGGCAGCGGCAGTCAGCAGAATTAGCCTGCAGTACTGCATTCTAACCACCATGGCTACCACTGCTCTTCTTATTAGGAATTATACGGACAGAAATCATATGCTTTTCTATGTAAGCAGGTTCTGAGCTGTGCCCAAATGAAAAGAATCTAGATCTACAATTGCATTTAATATAATTCAATATGATATATAGTACATTCTGCATTTGTACCATCTGGGTCATTTACCCTTTCGGCTACAAATCGCACGGACTGCACGCTTGTTCCATACAGATTATCGTTATACTGGCCAGCTTCGATGAATTTGTGCTCTTGAATGTCCTTTTCCATTTGTTCTCTGGAGATGACGAAGTGGTAATCTCTTCCGTCCACTTCATAATCGCGCTTCGGTCGAGTGGTATCTTAAGAGTAACAAAAAAAAATAATAATAATGAAAGAGGTTTGCTAAATGAACCAATACCCTCTGAAAACATCTCTAGTTTACTTCCTGCTAAAAGGGTATGTTCTGATTGACATTGGGCAGCCATTTTGTTTCTTTAAGGGGATATGGGAACATCTCTTGTTTACCTTCTGGTAAAAAGGTACATTATGATTAATGCTGGGCTGCCATTTTGTTTCCTTCATGTCAACCATTTTGTAAGCCTGCCCAAGACATTCTCATAATGAGACTACTGTCCGAAAGAGGACGAGGGCTATTGCCCTACGGGTTTCGAAGAGACACATTAGCATAAAATAAACACAACTATTAAGTTTATAAGAGTTCCAGAGAGAGGACAATGCCAGCCCCCCACCCCCAAAACCAAGAAAGACACACTGAGTTTCTTCTAAGCAGTTTCTCCTTGATTGTTTTTTTTTCACCTGTAGACAGAATCTTGCCAAACTAAAACAATTATTGGTACTATTAAAGATATACAAGCAGTCCTGGACTTACAAACTTTCATTTAGTGACAGTTCAAAGTTACAACGGCACTGGAAAAAAGTGACTTCTGGCCGTTTTTCATGCTTATGACCATTGCAACATCCCCCTGGTCATGTGATCAAAATCCAGACGCTTGGCAACCGGTTCATATTTATGACGCTTGCAATGCCCTGAGGTCATGTGATGATCCCCTTTTGCGACCTTCTGACCAGCAAGGTCAATGGGGAAGCCAGATTCAGTAAACAACGATGTTACTAACTTAACAACAGCATGATTCACTTAGCAACTCTGCAAGACAGGTCGTAAAGTGGAACAAAACTGACTTGACAACTGTCTTGTCAGCAACAGAAGTTTTGAACTCAGTTGTGGTCGTAAATCAAGGACTATCTGTATTTTGAGAAGTTCTATGGAGGAGCCACTATGGCCTTTTTTCCCCCAACAAACTATCTCAACTTCGCTAACTCTTGCTCCTCCTGAATGCAGCCCCTCCCTGCTGGGAATCCAGACCACATTCCACCACAGATCACAACTTAGCATGTTGCACCTGATTCCAGCCAGGAAATATTTACAGAGATGTCTCCTGATATACAATACTTACGTGGGACGCAGGAGCCAAATTTGTCAGGGAACTCAGATATCAAATCATCATTTATCCGATCTTTCATTGGGCCAAGGATAATAACCGGCCTGGTGTAATTAACTGAAATGCAGAAAGAAAAGAAGTTGGCTAAGGTAGCTTTGTAACAAACACTGGTGATGGGTTGATGTTCTAAAATGAACCGTGGTGGCACAGTGGTTAGAATGCAGTATTGCAGGCAAACTCTGTCCACAGTAAGGAGTTCGATCCTGACTGGCTCAAGGTTGCCTCAGCCTTCCATCCTTCCGAGGTCGGTAAAACGAGGACCCAGATAGTGGTGAGGCAGTAGGCTGACTCTGTAAACCACTCAGAGAGTGCCGTAAAGCACTATGGAGCAGTATATAAGCCGAAGTGCTATTGCTATTGCTAAAATTTAATCTTGGAGAGATATCATTTGCATGCAATCAACTTGGTTGATGCATTTTGATTTAATAAATGGAACAAAGGGCAGATAATATTTCCTAAAAACAAAACAGGGACTTCCATGAGATGCAACTGAACATGTCTCTTTAAAATGCTTGTTGCAATACTTCGGCGTTGAATTCTTCTCCAGAAGCTGTAATGGTCATTATTTTTTCTATTAATCTGGGTTGCTGGTGGTTTTTTTGGTTGAAAAACCAATTCTGAACTGGGCAACCATGAAATCCAGCAAGGTCCTTCTTACAATATAAGGGACATTGGACAAATTAGTTTTTTTAAAAATGTCCTCTTTCATTATGTTCTAAAGGGAGACTAGTATAGATCTAATTCAAGCTATTTAGCTCTCATCAGCTAGCCATACCCTTACTCGGATCAAGTTCAAGTCCGAGTAAGGGCATGGCTAGCTGATGAGAGCTAAATAGCTTGAAATAGATCTATACTAGTCTCCCTTTATTTCTTTATCAGCAAATATAAATTTGATATATACATATACATACATATATACAAACATACATCCATACATCCATACATACATACATACAGTAGTATTAAAATTGTGCAACCCTATTAGCAGCCGAAGATTTTACTGTAAAAACGAGCTAGGTATAATTTTGACCAGTGGTGAAATCAATTTTTTTTTACTACCAGTTCTGTGGGCATGGCTTGGTGGGCGTGGCAGGGGAAGGATACTGCAAAATCCCCATTCCCTCTCCACTCCTGGGGGAAGGATATTGCAAAATCTCCATTCCCACCCCACTCCAGGGGAAGGATACTGCAAAATCCCCATTCCCACCCCACTCTAGGGAAAGGATACTGCAAAATCTCCATTCCCTCCCCACTCTGGGGCCAGGCGGAGGTGGTGTTTGCTGGTTCTCCGAACTGCTTCAAATTTCTGCTACTGGTTCTCCAGAACCTGTCAGAACTTGCTGGATTTCACCCCTGGTTTAGACCAAACTGACTTAAGGAGCACACCCAAGCTTGTCCCAAAAGTGCTTCTCCAAAAGGCAACTGGACTTTCGTGGTGTTTTTCTCCTTGAAAAAGTTTCACTTCTCATCCAAGAAGCTTCTTCAGTTCTTCAATTGCTTCTTGGATGAGAAGCGGAATGTTTTCAAGGGAAAAAAACACACCCCAGAAAATCCAATGCCTTTTTGGAAAAATGCACCTTTTGGGACAACCATGACCTAGATGGTTGAGAATTTCCATAGACACCAAAGCTTGCTTACTTTCCTGCCGTGTAACAGGTTCGTAGGAGAGAATGCAGTCTTCTTGGCCTCCTGACGAGAGAAGAAAAACAGAGAAAATCAGCATTGAGACCCAGCGCTACCAAAATGCTCCCTAACATCACATTTACTTCCTTGAGTAGGCTTACGTACAAGTTACTCCTAAACGCTTTCAAGCAATCTACCTCGGCTTAAAGTTTTAAGTTAGCCTGTGATTTATCATTGCAAACAGGGTAGATACACAGGCCTCAGAAATGACCTAAAGCAGTGGGGTTTTTCCCCAAACTTGATGACTTTTAAGATGCGTGAACTTCAACTCCCAGCATGCTGGCTGTTGTGGCCCGCCGGGAGCCAATGAAGCTGGCAGCAGAATCAGATAGTGAGGAGGTTGGGGAGGAACATGGGCCAGTCCTGGGGGCTGGGGAATGCTCGGACGAGGGCTCTGCATCGGAGGCAGAGAGGGAGTTAAACAGCAGCAAGGCAGAGGAAAAGCTGGAACCCGTTCCCAGTGTGTGCATGCGCAGAGCTGCCAGAAGACAACAACAACTCAGAAAGCAGGGTCGACTCGGGAGTAAAGCCACACCTTGGAGGTGATTGGTCCCTCCCACAAGAAATAAAAGAGGGGCGAACAGGGAGTGGGCTTTTGCAGGAAACAATTAGTTCATTCTGTGACTCTGTGCCAAGTTTGGCCTTGTACTGCAGTTGGAAACAAGTTACGTGGCAACTCGCCAAACGAGATAAGGTGTGTTGAGAAATATTCCTTTGAAAAACTGTCTGGACAAACCTTGCCGACTGTGAATGAACGTAATTCACAGTCGTGTAAATAAAAGAGGTTTTGCCGGGACCAATTCCTGCCTCCTTCTTGTTGAGGGAGCCTAGGTCAGAACACTGGCAGGGGAATTGAAGTCCACGCATCTTAAAGACGTGAAGGTTGAGAAATACTGACTTAGTAGATGAATCTGCACTGAGAAGGAAGGAGGATGTGGATGCTCCAAGTTACAGATAATTCCCAAATCTGGAGATGCTCACACTGGAGGTTTTTTAAAGAAGAGATTGGATATGTCTGGAATGGTATAGGGCCGTGATGGCGAACCTATGGCACGTGGAGCCATATCTGTGGGCACGCGAGCTGTTGCCCTAACTCAGCTCCAGTGTGCATGCGCGCGCCAGCCAGCTAATTTTCGGCCGGCCCCACGCACGCTGCCCCTCCCCTCCCAGGAGTTTCCACGTGGCCCGTTTTGGATGCCAGGTAAGTACAGGGCTCATGCAGAGACTCTGGGAGGGCGTTTTCGGCCTCTGGGGAGGTGGGGAGGCTGTTTTTGCCCTCCCCAGGCTCCAAGGAAGGCTCTGGAGCCTGGGGAGGGCAAAAAACCAGGCCTACCGGTAACCTTTTTGCTGTCGTGTGCCAAAAGCGGGAGGAGCTTTGGGGGGGGAGCGTGCACATGTGTGTGTGGGGTGGGCATTGAATTATGGGTGTGGGCATGCATGCGCGCGCAACACTCCCCGTGTTCCCCCCGCTTTTGGCACGCGACGATAAAAAGGTTAGCCATCACTGGGATAGGGTTTTCTGGTTGGACTAGAAGACCTCCAAGGCCCCTTCCAACTCTTATGATTTAATGACTTTGCAGATAATTCCCAACTCTGGAGATGCTATTTAGTTGTGGCAAGGAAGGATTCCCCACTTCTATTGCGCCCACCGAAATGAAATAGAGAACAAAGGGTTAATTTGTTGAGTCGTTCTGTGATTCTTGAAGGACTCTTGAAATGTTAAAACTGCTCAGGCCTTGTTGAAGAAGTTAGGCAGGAATCCTCCTGCTTCTGAAGCTCTTACATGGCCTGGTAGTTGGCATAAAGATTTGTGCTCTGATTCCCAAAGGTGCTTTTTTTCCCCCAAGAGGCAACTGGGCTTTTTACTTTTTCTTTGAAGACGTTTCACTTCTCATCCGAGAAGCTTCTTGAGAGAAATAAGGATTATTCCTGTAAAAAGGCATAACCTGAGCTACGCCATTTTAAGTGCCTTATTTTACCTTGTACAACCTGATTATATAATTTTGCTAGGAGAACATAATAAGACTTAGGAACACGAGAGAAGAAACTGTGTAATTCCTGTGTATGTTCTTAAATGCTGATGTATGTTCTTAAAATCTGCTTGTTTTGCAGGAAAATCTTCTTCTGGGTCAACGTGCCCTCATTAATAAGGGGAAGTACGCCTATAATGATATCACAAGCATAAGCCATATCTTTGTGTGGGGGTATTTTTACTGGAAAGGTGATGATTTTCCAGGGGGCAAAACCATGTGCTAAATATGTGATATAAGACCTGAAACTGGGCTCTAGGGACGTACCTACATCCTGTTGTATCCTGTTGTATCAGACCTGTGTATCCTGAAAATTGTATATAAGATCTGTAAGAAGAAGGCTTAATTGCTTTCTCTTCCTGTGAGAATAAGTCACTTTGCAAAGTTATAATAAAAATCCTGTCTTGCATGTTCATAGCCTCTGTTTTCATTCCTAATAAGGTAAATGCTGGTTTCCTGAATACCACACTTCTTCAGCTCTTCAAAGAAAAACCAGAAAGTCCATTTGCCTCTTGAAAAAAAAAAACATCTTTGGGACAACCATGATCTGGGTGACTGAGAATCTCCCTAGACGTGTCTGTGCTCTGATTCCTAAATCAGGATGACAGATGTTGGAAGGAAACATCTGGAAGAAATCCATAGTTTGGCTGGATAGATTAAAAGGGGAAGGGCGGGAGGGGAGCGTGGTTTGAACCTGGGGGAGACTCTTAAGCATGAATGGGACAGGATGAAGAAACTTTGGTTTAGAACTCCTCATAAGCTGTATAGGTAGTCCTCAACGTACGACCATAATGGAGCCTGCCCATCACGGTTGTGAGTGGTGATGTTGTAAAACAGGCCATCCAAAATTCAGATGTAATTTCCCGGGTTGTAGAAATCACTCCCCTCCGGCCACTGTAGGTAACAGTGGAGATGGCCTTGACAGAGATACGGTTGGAATGTGCTTTTGTTTTGACTTGACGTGCTGCCTTGCCGCAGCTGCAGAGTTTGTTTCCCCATCCCCCTTGCCTATGGCAACTCGAGAGCAGGCCAGGGATGCTTTGCAAGTTGACAAGTGACTTATGACCGTTTTTCACACCTATGACCATTGTAGCATCCCCATATGTCATGTGATTTACATTTGGATGCTTGACAACTGACTCACATTTACAACTGTTGCAGTGTCCCAGGGTCATACCATCCCTTTTTGTAACCTGGTGGCTCAGCAGACTGATAGCATTGTGATTAACACCAGCTGTCTGCAATTACTGTAAGTTCGAATCTCCCCAGGCTCAAGGTTGACTCAGCCTTCCATCCTTTCTAAAGTAGGTAAATTGAGGACCCAGTTTGTGGGGGCAATAAGCTGACTTTGTATAAATATACAAAAGTATGAAGGCTATTGCTTAACGCATTGTAAGCCGCCCTGAGTCTCCGGAGAAGGGCGGCATATAAATCAAATTAAAACAAAACAAAACAAAACCTTCTGATCAGCAGAATCAATGGGGAAGCCAGATTGACTTAACAGCTGTTTTGCTAACTGAACAACTCCAGTGATTCCCTTAACAACTATGGCAAGAAAAGTCGTAAAATGGGGCAAAACTCTCTTAACGACTGTCTCACTTAACAACAGCAATGCTGGGCTCCATTGTGGTCGTTACGTTGAGAACTACCTGTATAATCTGAGAGAAGGAATCCTTTTGATGCCTTTTTCATGTCCTGACCGAACTGGTGTGTCTGAATTTTTTTTAAAAAAAAAATAAATCCTTTCATGCACGATAATGTTGCTGTCTGAAGGCCCCATGAAATGACCCAGAGAGCCTGACTTAAAATGAAATATAAACAGCTGTAGAGGGCAAATATTGGATCAAATGCCCTGGATAGCTCAACAGACAGAGCTCTGTAATTTAAGACCAGCTGTCTGCAATTAAAGTAAGATCGAATCCCGCCAGGCTCAAGGTTGACTCAGCCTTCCATCCTTTCTAAGGTAGGTAAATTTGTTGGGGCAATAAGCTGACTTTGTATAAATATACAAAAGTATGAAGGCTATTGCTTAACACATTATAAGCCGCCCTGAGTCTCCGGAGAAGGGCGGCATATAAATCAAATTAAAAAAAAAAAAAAAATGCAACCGGTAAGCAAAATTTGCAGCCAAAGGAAATTCTATTCCAGCCAAAGCTTATGAAATTGGTGAGATCAGCTGCAGAAAAAAAAAACAAAAACAGCATTTCAAAAACCACACAGAGGAACCTGTGTTGTTTTCATCTGAAATGCAGACCCATGCACCTACCCCCACATTTCTGGTTGCTGTGTGTGCTATATAGTGGTTTTTTTTCCCGCCATTGCGACCAATAGAGCAATTACGCAAAGCCGAGGCAGGAACCAACGAGCAATTGGCGTTAACTGTATTATGCATATCATTCAATGCAAAATAAACCAAGCAACAGACAAGAACTGGAAGTAGAGCAAATTGTGTCCTCTTTTTTTTTTTTTTTTTGCGTGCTGTTAATAGGTTGGGCAGTTCTTGTTCATTTCAAAAGGATGGCAAATGCATCCAATTTTCTCCTTTTTAAGGTGTTGGGAGATTCATTGCTTTTTTTAAATAGCAAAATAATGTGCTTCCTTCCTCTCGGGAAATGGCTTGGCCTTTTTTTTAAAGAAAACTAGGTGGAATATTAAGTAACACATTTAGCTGAGCAGGTGTGCCCAAACTTGTTCTACCCATCAGAAATACATTTTAATTATTGTATACAGCCGTGATGGTGAATCTATGGCACGCGTGCCTCAGGTGGCACGTGTATCCATATCGGTGGGCACGTGAGCTCAGCGCCGGCACGCATGCATGCGCTGGCCAGCTGATTTTCAGGCCTTGTGGGCCCACCAGAAGTAGGGAAACAGGTTGTTTCCGGCCTCCGGAGGGCCTCCAAGGGGGTAGGGAAGGCCGTTTTCGCCCTCCCCCAGCTCCTAGAAAGGCTCTTGAGGCTGGGGAGAGCAGAAAACGGGCCAAATGGAAGGAGGAAAGGGTTGTGATATGTTTGCTATCTTGAGTTATTTGCAAAAATAATAAAGGCAGGATACAAATAACTTTCCATACCTTTGCTTACTTGGGTTCAACTCTATTCAGTCAAATGCCTTAACCATACATGATGTCAGTGGTGAAATGCAAATTTTTTTGCTACCGGTTATGTGGGTGTGGCTTGGTGGGCATGGCTTGGTGGGGGGGGAATCATGTGACTGGGTGGGCTTGGCCAACTTTTTTATTTTTTTTACTTTTTAAAGCATTTTTTATTACCTATTCGCCCAAACTGGTAATAAAAAAATGCTTTAAAAAAGTTTTTTTAAAAGATTCTGATGATCACGTGGCACAGCTGTGATCTTCGGAACCTTTTTTTTTTTACTTTTTAAAGCATTTTTTTTACTACCGATTCGCCCGAAATGGTAATTTTTATCACTACCGATGTCAGCATTCTGATGCTGCCATAAAAAGATGAGGCTTGACTTTTCACCTACTTATTTTCTCTGTAGATAATATCCTCTAGGAGATAGGATGGGAGGGGGGAACATTCCTGTGGGGTGAGGTCAGAAGCTGGGGAGACTGACTTGGAAGATGGCCAATGAGAAGATGAGAATTGGGGAACGGAAAGGGAAGGGTTTGGGGGTCAGAGGGTTAGTATCGGCTACGATGAAGTCAGGGCCAGATCTGTCGTACTCAATAAATGGAATATTTCAGCAAAGATTAATTGTTTGGGAGTGCAATTTATTTGAGATGACATCGAAACCTGACAACCGGTTCGCCCAAATTGGAGCAAACCGGTAAGCATCTCACCCCTCCATGATGTTCAACATTTCAAAGAAGGTGATTTTGAAAGCTACCTCCTACAATTTTTTGGGTTCGCCAATGTATTAAGGCCTACAGAACTTTTTGTTCAAACAGCCTCACTCCCTGCTAGTAATCATTGCAAATCGTGTGTTTGGATTGAAAGCGTCTGCTCCGTTTTCTTGAAAAAAAAAAAAAAAACTCCGACGTTTGGACGTTGACCTGCTGGACTCAAATTCTAAAACTACATTAATTTTTGGCAACGCCTTGAGTCAAAGGAAACCAGGTCCATGTCAGAGGCACGTAAGAAGTGACACGTGTTTGCAGCCCGTTACATATAATCCACCTCTCGACGCTGTCGCACAATCTTTTTTAAAATCTGAAAAGCAAACATGAAAGAAGAAAAACCCAGGGGTGAGGGTGGAAGGGAGAAAGAAAGGAAAAGAAACCCAGTCTTCCGAGGCAAGCCAAAGTAAAAAAAAAAAAAAAAAGAACCCAAGAAATGCCGTAACTTACTGTAGCTACTTTCGCTATCGCTGGCATTAGAAGAGAGATGTTCTGCAAGAACAGGACAGCAAATTAAAAAGGAGAGGTAGTCAAGCAGCAGAAGAATGTCAAGCGATCACCCCGGTCATGCAATCGGCATGCAAAAGGGAGAATCGGAAAGCGACGGTGCGGTAAGTCAGCAAAAGAGTTTCCGAGAAACTTGACTAACGAAGGCCAAAGACATTATCATCGGTGGATACGCCGAGAAAGGGCAGCATTGCCACAGGGATGGACCTCAAATATACAGCCGCCAAAGAAAGCGTCAGGAATGTCTTTGCAAAGACTTTCGTTCCGCAAACATTTCTCCAATGTTTTTCAAAGGGCGATGAGAAACCAAAGGGGGGAACGTCAGCCATGTGACATGACTCATATATGAGATGCAGTGGTGGGATTCAAGTAATTTAACAACGGGTTCTCTGCCCTAATGATTTCTTCCAACAACCAGTTCACCAAACTGCTCAGAAAGTTAACAACCGGTTCTCCCGAAGTGGTGCGAACTGGCTGAATCCCACCACTGATGAGATGTACATGGACTGGCTAGCGATGTATGGGGCTATCTATCTCTTTTGTGAAGGTACGTGCACAATTACCCTTAGGGAAAGAATTGTGAGAAGGGGTGACTCAGGAGGAGCAATGTTAGAGGGGGACAATTAAATCTTTTCTGACCCACTACTATTTTTTTTTTCATTTGTTACCTTCTAAGACATCTTTAACCACTGTGGCTGCTGCTTATGTTATTATTACTATCTCTTTTATTCATTAAATAGGAAAGTCAGTCAACGAAACATTTAAAAATGTATCACAAATCGTATCATTGACTGGCGCTGATGGTTGATACGGGTTGCTGCCAGCGTTCTAGGTATCAACCAAGTGTCTTCTTAAAACATACAATGTTCCAAGTAGCACATTTTTTTTTCAGTTCCGCTGGTGTTATTGCAGGAAGCTGCAATTTCTTGATGTATTTTGTAAAATTCTTGGACATGGTACCAAGTGCCCTGATGACAATGTGTATCACTGTTACATGTTTCATCCACAATTGCGTAGTTTTGATGGACGGGTGGAGATATTTTGTGATTTTTATTATTGTTGTTGTTATTGGTTGCACAGTCATCTAGAGGTTCAAACTGGGTTTGGCATTTGTGTTGGTAAGGACCCATTGAGTCCTTACCAACGAACTGTGATGGGCACATCTGGCTATTTGATGGAGTTACAGATATCGTCGCAGGATAGAAGCTGTTCCAAGTAAAGCTGCCTTCTGCAATTGACTGCTGGCAAATTTATCAATGCCGATGCTGTTCAAGTGGTGCTCCAGATGTTTTTGTCTACTCACTGAGTCCTTTCCAAGGGCTTGGGTTAGGCAGAGGTGGAGGATTGATGGTAATGCAGATGTCATAGCAGGATGGAAGCTGTTCCGAGTAAAGCCGCCTTTTGCAATTGACCGATGGCAAATTTGTCAATGCCGATGGTATTCAAGTGGTGCTCCAGATGTTTTGGGAGTGGACCCAAGGGGCCTATGATTATTGGTACTACCTTCGCTTGCTTCTACCACAGTCATTCTATTTCTATTTGCAGGTCTTTATATTTTGTGGTCTCCTCCAGTTCTTTCTTTTCTATTCTCTAGGTACTGCCATGTCCTGTTCTTGTTATTATTATTATTATAAGTAGCAAGACTGGTCAAAGTCGTATTGTTATCTAGGTGGGTCTTTGATATGATACAATATATAGGTAGTCCTCAAATGATGGTTTGTGACTTCAAAGTTACAATGGCACTGAAAATAGTGATTATGACCATTTTTCACACTTGCGACCATTGCAGCATCCCCATGCTCACTCCGATGCTCAGCAACCGGCTCATATTTATGACGGTCGCAGTGTCCCCGCGATCACATGATCCTCTTTTGTGACCTTCTGACGAGCAACATCAGCAGGGAAGCCAGATTCACTTGACAAATCTGTTATTAGCTTAACAGATGCAATGATTCCCTTAACAACTTTGGCATGAAAGGACTTAAAACGGGGCATGACTCACTTAACAGCTGTCTTGCTTTGTAACATAAATGTTGGGCTCTATTGTAGTTGGATGTCAAGGCCTACCTGTATACAAAAGTTTCGCATGAAGAGTGACATTGCAATAGTTGGACAATTTTTCTTTAGCTTCCCCACTTCATTCAGAAAAAGCTCGGGGAGGTCCTAAAACTGGTTTTATTTCATGGTGAATCACAGACTGCATCAGAGTATGTTAATCTAAGGCAACTGACAGTTGGAACAGAGTTCTTTTCAGATGGGGAGGGGGAGTAGAACGTCTAACTCCTTAGCATCAGAGCATGTGAATATAATACTGTATATAAAATACTAATGCTCTGATGGTCATTTCGAAAAATCCTTTCTTAGCGAGCACCTAGAAGCCAAGAGGAATGTACGTGCTAAATCTCAAGTTTGTAGGCTTTACCTTTCTGGAGATTTTGTGATGAGTGAGTGGTATTTGGCTTTTATATATATATAGATTACATTTTCCAGGGTGACTGCTAGCAGAACAGAAAATGTCTGTTCTCTTTTTACAGAGTCTTATGTAAATTACAGATGGAAATGACTCTTTAAAATCTCCATCCCAACAACTTTAAATTCCCAGTTATGTGGTCAGATAAAAAACCTGGCATGTGGAAACAGGTTTAGCACTGGTGGTGTCCCACTGAGGTTTAAATTGGAAAGTGCAAGTGATTTTCTTGTTCTAACAATCTTTGATTTAGTCCTGTAGGCTCCCAGGTAGCCCTGCATCTAAGACCATAATCGAGCTCAAAATTGCTGTTAAGCCAATTTCCCCCCATTTTTCGACCTTCCTTGCAAGTTTGTGTTGCTGTCTATACTTGACTTACTATCACAATTGAGGCCAATATTTTCGTTTGCTAAGCGAAACATTTGTTAAGAGAGTTTTGCCCCGTTTCACGACCTTTCTTGCCGCCGTTGTTAAGTGGATCACTGCTGTTGTTAAGTTAGTAACACGGTTGTTAAGTGAATCTGTCTTTCCCATTGACTTTGCTCGTCAGGAGGTCGCAAAAAGGGATAGAGTGATCTCGGGACACTGCAGCTGTTATAAATACGGCTGATCAAGTGAGGTAGTAATACCACTCTATAAAGCCTTAGTAAGACCACACCTAGAATACTGCATCCAGGTTTGGTCACCACACTCTAAAAAAGATGTTGAGACTCTAGAAAAAGTGCAGAGAAGAGCAACCAAGAGGATTAGGGGACTGGAGGCTAAAACCGCTGGGTTTTTGATGCAGCACGCATGTGTGCAAGGCGCACACGAATGAAGCTATCCCATCCTATACAATCGCCATATTTTTAATGCAGCATGCGCTCACATTTTCGATTCTGGGCAAACCGTTTGTTAAATTATGTGATGCCCATCTCTGAACAGAGGAATTCGATCAAGATCACGTGAGGTACTAATACCACTCTATAAAGCCTTAGTAAGAGCACACCTAGATTATTGCATCCAGTTTTGGTCACCACACTATAAAAAAAGATGTTGAGACTCTAGAAAAAGTGCAGAGAAGAGCAACCGGGATGATTAGGGGATTGGAGGCTAAAACATACGAAGAGCTAGGCATGGCTAGTCTAGTGAAGAGAAGGAGCAGGGGAGACATGATAGCAGTCTTCCAATATCTGAGGGGCTGCCACAGAGAGGAAGGGGGTCAAGCTATTTTCCAAAACACATGAAGGAAGGAGGAATAATGGATGGAAACTGATCAAGGAGAGATTCAACCTGGAAATAAGGAGAAATTTTCTGACAGTGAGAGCAATCGACCAATGGAACAAAAGTTGCCTTTAGAAGTTGTGGGAACTTCATCACTGGAGGCTTTCAAGAAGAGATTGGATTGCCATCTGTCCGAAATGGTGTAGGGTCTCCTGCTTGGGCAGGGGGTTGGATTAGATCAGAGGTCACCAACTGGTGGTCTGTGAGAACATTTTGGTGGTCTGCAGAAAAATTATTTGCATTTTTAATATTGCACTAAATCAGGGGTCCTCAAACTACGGCCCCTGGGACGGATACGTGCAATGAACGTTTGTGTTGCTGCAGAGAGTCTCCCCCTTCAGGGTCTTTTTGTGTGGGTCAGAGGGGGGCAGAAATTCCGACTTGGGGTCTGCTTCAGCCTCCTGGTGTGGGGCTTTGGGCAAAGGCTGGAGGGAAGAGCCACTGGTGGCGAAGAGCCGGAGGGCCTCGTTCCAGTGGGACTGCATCATGGCCTGGAACTGGCTGACCATCTCAGCCTGCTGAGCCTCCAGGCACTGGCACCTGGCCTTGCACTCCCGCAGGTCTTCCCTCTGCTTGGAAAGCCTATGCTCCTAGTCCTCAGTGAGGTGCTTCTGCTGAGTCTCCTTCTCGGTCAGATCCAATTTGAACTGAGCCAGCTGTTTTGCCAACTCTTTCTCTTTCCCCAACTGCTTCCTGTTGGGGCCCTAAGGAGCCCGGGCAGGCAAGAGAGGAGTGGGTGGGAGGGACGCATAGAGGCTTTTGAGGTGCCCCTTGATGTGAGTGACATTGAGTTGGCCACGCCCACCCGGTCACATGACCACCTAGCCACGCCCACCCAGCTGGTCATTAGGCAGATCATATTAGTGGTCTGCGGGATTTTAAATTATGAATTTAGTGGTCCATGAGGTCCGAAAGGTTGGGGACCTCTGGATTAGATGACCTACAAGGTCCCTTCCAACTCTGTTAATCTGTAAAAGTACATGCCAGTTGCCAAGAGTCCAAATTTTGATCACCTGACTAGTGGGATGATTTCCCATTGACTTTGCTAGTTAGAAGGGGATCACACTCCAACAGTCATAAATACGAGTCAGGTGCCAAGGGTGCCGAATTTTTGATCACGTGACCATGGGGATGCTCCAGAGTGAAAAGTGGCCATGAGCACTTTTTTCAGTGCCGTTGTAACTTCAAATGGTCACTAAATGAATCACTGTAAGTCGAGGATCCACTGTCATTGTTCTACCTATCCAGTCTGGCT